GAAGGAAGCAGAGAATGATGATGAGAAATTGCCTCTGAAGTCAAATACATGTTGATATATTTTATATACAACCTTCAAAGTTCTCTGAATTGCTCTGCTTTCTCTTTTCGTTTTTAATCTGTTTCTTGAATTCGTTTTTTTTTTCTATTCCTGAATTTAAGATTTGGTTGGTTTATGATTGTTAGAAACAGATCTGTCTTTGATTCAAGTAAAACCAGGCTTTTCCAAGTTTGCTTTTTGCTGAAATGAATTAATCTCACTTTCCCTTTGCACCTAAGAAAATCATAGTCTGTTTAAACTGATTTAATGTTTCAGACTACACGAGCATGGTGCTATATCAATCTTCTTCCTTGAGTTTTTGTTCTAGCCATATCAAGCCTTGATCTGGCTTAACTTTTGGAGAAATATCTTTTTTTTTTTTGTTCAGATCCTATAACTGAAAGCATTTGAGAAATGGAAATGCCCACATAAAGTTTGCGCCTAGATGAGCCCACCTAGAAAGTAGAAACGCATACCTGCAGATTCTGTTTACACATTTGTAGAACATTCAATCAAATCTAATGCTATTTTTTTGCAGTGTTTGAGGCCCTGGAACATTCAATCATATATATATTCAGCTCGTATCTCAGTAATTAAGGTGATTTAAGCATGTAAGGATAGCACAAAACACAAGATCTTTACCAATAATAAATGGCACAAGATGCTTAGCAACGAATAAAAATGTGAATCGATCATCAGTATTCAAGCTGTTACAAGCTAATACGAACCTTGTTTCTAAGGAAAAACCACTCAATAACACTCACAGATTCTAAGTGAAGGGAGGCCATTCAATATTTATGAAGCTTGAACTAGAACAATCACAAGTTTTGAAAAATAATTCTTTTGTTTTTGATTTAAAAGATGGGGCATGGTTAGAAACAATGTGAAATGCAACATAGTTATTTGAAGTGAATAAAGAAAATTAAATGAGAGTTGTAACTACAAATGAATGAAGCCCTTGGTGGAGTTGTGACCATAGTTCTGAACATAAACATGAGATGGAAAGTTTTATGCTCCAATAATCCAACGGTTTCTCAGCAAAGTCCCTCTTGAAAGGGTGAATCAGAACCTATAAGAACTCAATTTTGAAATGGGAAAAATGTCAAAAAAAAGCTGAAAT